TGTTATCCACTATAGTGGATATTATAGTATAATATATACTATATAATATAGTATTATTATAGTATCCACTAATAGATAGCACCTTTCGGTGCTTGTGAAGACATCTAATTACCACTGAGGTTATGGTCACTTACGTTTCACTAAATAGCAAACAACATTCACAAAATGCTTGATGATTTATTGTCTCCCCTTCTCAGCAGTGTGAATTTGTCAGAGACAAACTACTGTGCTACATGGCCCTTTTACTTTAGTACAGCCACTTTTAATACCAACTGATCTCAGGGAAATTTGTTAAGATTGGATCGTGCTTTCACACATTGAGAGGTATTGCAGCACTTTCTAGGTTCACACCCAAAGCCCTCCCTGTCACCGCTGAGTGTCCTTCTTCACCAGGAATTCCTAATCTGGCCAACACTTGGTGCTTCTGTCCCTCTCATCTACTTTTTGTCTTCCTGGAGCTTGCTGAAGTCATCCACTTGCCTCTGCGCTGGGTCCACCCAATGAACAGTGCTCAGAGCTGCAATGGGGAACACTGCTGTCAGGAGACTTGCAAGCATGGAAAATGCAGACCCAAGAAAAAGAAGAGGAAGGGCAAATCCAGTTTGCACCTGCCACCTGGATTACCACCTTCAGCTGCACCCAGCAATTTCTGTTCTACCTTCCCCCTGACAGCAGACAAGGACACACTGTCCAACTGGAGCCCTGGGACTGCTCCTTGCTTCCACGTGGCCTCTTTGACATCTCAGCCACTCCACTCTCCCTACTCACTTCTCATAGGTCAGCTCAAACAGTTGGTCTAACTTACTGGTACAGAGGTGACAGCTATGGTTTACATCTAAGTACAATAAGCAAACACTAACAGATTCAGCTTTACTCGGCTTCCCCACACAAAACTTTCTCTGCACCTGAACTGGGATTACATGGCAAGGTTTTGGCAGTTGGGGGTCTTCGGGGGTGGCCTCTGTGAGATGAAATCAGGGGCTGTGCCTTTGCAGGCAGAGCCGGTTCCAGCTGACTCCAAAACAGACCCACCACTGGCCAAAGCTGAGCCTATCAGCAATACTGGTGGCACTTCTGTGATTTAAGAAAGGGGGAAAATGCCGCACAGCGGCTATGAGAGAGAGGAGTGAGGAAAATGTGAAACACCCTGCAGACACCAAGTCAATGAAGAAGGAGGAAGAGGAGCTGCTCCAGCTGCCGGAGCAGAGATTCCCCTACAGTCCGCAGAGAAGATCATGGTGAAGCAGGTTGCCTCCCTGCAGCCCATGGAGGACCATGCTGGAGCAGA